GCCTCACTAGTATGAAAATCAACAGTATTTGCATGTCTGCCTGGGCAGGGCACATGCTCCATGTTTCCTAGGTTAAGCAAGGGCTTCTCCCAAACTGTCAGGAAAGAGCCACACCCCATAGATGGGGACATCTGTGCACAGCGGCATGTGACAATTAGATATGTGAGCTCTTAGAGTGCAGCATGGACAGAGCAGGGGATATCCTGTGTGAACTTGGTAGGGCTGGGCTCATTCAAGCCACATGAAGTTGGTAGATTTGACCCACTGGCATACTTAGAAGTGGCTACAAAGTGACTGGTTATCTTTGATAAGCTGACCTTTGGGAACCCAGTGGGGAAAGTGTTAGCAAGAAAGTACATCTATTTGCAGGGGCCACTTGTGCAGTCATTGCAAAGAAAATCCCTGTAAACATCCTTCCTCCTTAAGCCGTCAGGATGAGCCCTACCTTCTAGAGCCTCCAGCTATCCCACCCTAGCCATTCTGAGTAATTCAAAGCCAATCTGCTGATACTGAGACAATATATAACCCTGAATAGAATGGCATCTGGAAGTGAGAGCCCAAACAAGCTCTTTGGTGAGGAGGCTGATGGGACAGGCCAGTTCAGGCCATGACCAAAAAAAAAAAAAAAAACCCAGTTGCCCCCGAGTTGATTCTGAGTCATGGTGACTCCACATGTATCAGAGTACAACTGTGCTCCATAGGCTAGTCAATGGCTGATCTTTTGGAAAGAGACTGTCAGGACTTTCTTCTGCAGTGCTTCTAAGTGGACTCAAACCTCCAACATTTTGATTAGCAGCTGAGTGCATTAACCGTTTGCACCACCCAGTGACCCCTGTGACAAATAAAACCCCTCATTTATTCAGCAGTCTGCCACCCATGACAGGCTGGCTTATGCATACTCAGTCCCTGAGCTGTGACAAGACTCTTAAGAAAAAGCAGAAGGTACTACTACCATTCTTCTCTTGAGTAACACAAAGTTTTTATACCCTCTCCAATAGACATACACACACACACTGTTATGTATGCAGACAAGACAGTCTACCTGTCTTCCTGGCCCTGCCCTACACAGGACAGAGAACACCCAGAGAGACAAACACAGACTCAGAAATGGGTATTTCTTTACCAAGTCACAGTCAACAAAGACCCAGTTTTGTCTTAGAAAAAAGAAGGCATTTAAGATATCCATTCTTCTTCACCATGAAGACTAGGGCTGCTGCAAAGAAGCAAAGGCCTCTCGGCTCTCTGGTGAGGAGGCTGATGGGACAAATGTCTCACCCACAAAAACTGAGCATGTCATAGCAGGGACTCCCAATCCCCCTCCACAACTCCCTCCATCATCTGGAACTGGCTAAGCAGGGCTGTGGGAGATTTCCTGGCTCACTACTGAAATACTTTCATTGTGTGCTCCAAGCAAGGTTAAGCCGCAAGTATAGAAAATGTGCTTCTGTCATTGTGGAACAAGTAGGAATATTCCCTCAAGTGTCAAGAAAAAGAGATCTGCAAGCGTTGACTTCAGGACTGCATGTAAGTGGATCAGGTGCAGGGAGAGTGTAGGGGCCAGGACAGAGAGAGTTAGAGACCAAGTAGGGCAGTTTTTCTCTAAATGCATTTTGGGTCCACCAGCATCAGAATTTCCTGGGACTACTTATTAATAAGGCTGAGTCTTGGATGCCACCCCAGATCCAGTGTCTGTATTTTTTGCATAAAAATGCAAGAGTCTTTCTTATTTAACAAGCATCTTCTCTGTTGAGAAGAGAGAGATTGAGAACCAATGGTTCTAGGGATGGGATTGTCAGAGAAACTGTCCACACTTACTCTGAACTACATGTCTGATCCTTGGGCAGAGAAGGCTGAGGGCTGACTCAGCTCAGCACCTTCACTTTATGTCTTTGGAAGTAAGTCCAGGCATTGATTCCCAGAGATCCCGATCCACTCAGCTTGGGAGTGGCATACCTGTGTGTGAGCGCAGGTGGCGTTTCAGGGCGGTGTGGCTGGGAAAAGTACGGTTGCACTCGCTGCAGATGTAGCTGCGCACGCCTGCGTGGACCTCCATGTGCTGCTGGAGTGCGCTCTGTGCCTGGAAACGCTTCCCGCAGAGCAGACAGAAGACAGCCATGTCTGTGCCTGAGGAGACAGGGCAGGGGAGAGCCTCAGGAAGTGGAAACACAGGCCAATCCTTAACCCATCAGCCCAAACCCAGAGCCAGCATCACAACCAACATTCCTAAGCCCCCAAGCTCAGGGACAAACCAAGAGATGGTCTAGGTTTTGCAGTGTAGTTGACTGAGCATCTAGTATGTTCCAAGCATGCAGGCTACAGTGGTGGACATAACTGGAATCCTTCCCTACCTCATGGAACCTAAAGTCTAGGAGCAGAGAAAGAGACATTAATCAAATCATTATTATCAAATGTAAATTTGCAACTGTGACAAGTGCCATATAAGAGAAGGCAGGGTACACAGCAGGTAGGTATGAGAGGGACTAGAGTTTGGGGCAAAGGGGTGAGGAGTCAAGACATGCCTCTGAGAGAAAAAAACAATAAAAATAATACGTGCTAATCATTGTTCTAATCTAACCAACTTAAAAATCACAACAACTCTAAGGTAGGCTATCTTATACTTACTTTTTAGATGAGGAAAGAAAGGCACAGAGAAAATGAATAGCTTGCCCAAGGCTGCATAGCTTGTAACTGGCAGAGTTGCGATTCAAACCCAGGCAGCCTTGATTTGAATTGTTTGCTGTTCTCTTGTTGTTAGCTATCATCCAGAAGGCCCGTGACTCATGGTTAACTCCATGCACAGTGGAACAAAATGCTGCCTGGTCTTGCCCCATTCCCAGGATCAGATCACCATGATCCACAAGGTTTGCATTGGCTGATTTCTAGAAGAAGATTACCAGGCCTTTTTTTCTAGTTTGTCTTGGTCTGGAAGCTCTGCTGAAACCTATTCAGCACCATAGTGACATGCAGGCCCCCAATGACAGACAGGTGGTAGCTATGCATGAGGTATATTGGCCAGGAATAGAACCTTGATCTCCTGCATGGAAGGTGAGGATTCTACCACTGAACCACCACACTGCCTGTTCTCTTAGCCAGTTCTTCATTCTTTAAAGCAAATGTCTAGAGGATTCATTCATTCAACATATATTATTTTAGTATCTTCCACAAGCAGGACTATAACTATGGGGATATAACCATGGGGAAGCACGCAAAGTCCCTGCTCTCATCATAGATGTTACCCAGGGCACTGGGAGAAGAGAGCACATTCCAGAAGGCAGAAGAGTCCATGTGTGGCTGGAGAGGTAGGATGAGGGGGGGAGAGAAGGCTGAAGAAGTAGGCAGGGGCCAGGTTTAAAAGCAATGCTAAGAGCTTTATGTTTGTCCTAAGACTAACTGATAACTGTCAAAGGAACTTAAGCTAGTGAGTGGCATGATGAAATTTTCATTTAATTCTGTCCAGTTATTCCCTGTGCTGATCAGAAGCACAGGTACTCCACAGTACCCTATAAAGACAGGCTGCCATCTTCCGTTGGTCATCAAGCCCCTTCCCAATGCTTCCCTGGAGCTGTGGCCTTCCTGGTTACAGCACCACGATTAGGAAGTATCTAAATCTCATGTCTGAGTCCTAACTGGTTGCCCACTGCCCGCCATTTTGGATTATGTTTCCATAAGCATGTCAGCTCCCCTGTAAGCCCATCTGTACACTTCTCTCCTTACTGGCATGAGAGTGATATTTCCTGTGCTCAACCCTGCTCTACCCTCCCTTGTTTCCAGGACACAAGAAAGAAAAGTAGTAAGGCACAGAGCCTGCCAAGCCAGTCCACAGTGGATAGAGGGACACATCACTGGCTGCTGAAAATTGTGGGCTGCTCAGTGTAGAGTCAGGGATTTTCTGGTGAAAGGTAAGGATGAAGAGAAGGTAGAGCAAGAAGAACCTAACTGCCTTCCTGGTCTATCAATGGAGAAAGCAAATGGAAGGTCTGACATTCACAGAGGGTTTTGGGACAGACTAGTGGGAAGGTAAGGAGTGCCTCTCACTACTCCCCACTCCTCTACCTCTCATACCCAGCCATGATCCTATCCTTGTGAAGTGTGGGCACTAGCAGCCCTGCTCCACCCCCCCTTCAGTCACTGTCTGCATCCAGGTCCAGGGAAGGCTGAACAAAACAGGAGGAATACAAGCAAGCACTCAATTTTGCTCCTGGCCCTCAAAGAGCAGAATGGAAGGGCAACAAATATAGGTATTATGTGAGGCGCTTTGTCTCTGCCATCATCTCATTTAAAATCTGCAGCCCTACAAGGCAGGTATTCTTATCCTCCTTTTCATAAATGTGAAAACAGAGAGATTAAATAATTTGCCTAAAATCACATAGCTAGAGAGAGGCAGCGTTGGGATTTGAAAATGTCTAGTTCTGTCTGATACCAGAAATCATGGGGCTGTGACCATTTCCACCTCTGGGACTGGCCACCTGCCTCTTTGGGCTTTCCCCAGAAGAGGCACAGTGACAACAACAGCAGAGCTGTTTGAGATGAGGACTGGCTTTGGGGACAGAGCCAGCTCCAGCTGCTTCAGGTCCACCAAGACATTCAGAATGTGCTCCAGCAATGGCTAGAGAACCCAAGGCAGAAAACAAGTCACAAGGCATAGCTCTGTGAAGTCCCACAGGGGTGGGAGTGGACTGCAGTGGCAGGAAGAGACCTGATGGTTCTACCACTGGAGGGGGATAGGGACCAGACTAGGGTAGAGATCATAAGGCCAGGAGGGGGGATCAGAAACGATATCCTGGGATGGCCTGATGGGATCTAGGGCCTGACTAGAACAGGGCAGGTGACCGTGAAATTCCAGCCACCTCTGCACCCTGTTGACAGGTTGAAGTCATACAATGGTCACTACCTAGAAAGAAAATGCTACAATGCCCCTATAATGGTTTCTCTTTCCTTCTTGGGATACCCTTTTGTCCTGATCCCACAAGGCTCAGGGACTCTCCCTGGCCACCTGCATATTGACAGAGGCTCACAGGCCAAAAGAAGGGGGACCCTGAGGTCCCATACCCACTCTCCCCATTCTTTGTCTTGGAGACTAATAGCTGTGATAACAGAACACTATTAAAAAGAAAAAAAAAAAAAGAGGAAAGGGAGGAGGCAAAGTGGATGAGGCACAAGAAAAGCAATTGGTGCAGGCACGTTAAAAATCTCGAGACTAGATCTGAGTTATTAAACAATTTGCCGTAGTTTCTGCCTAGCTGATTGTTCGGCATGTATGATGAGTCAGGGCAGATTCTATTACACTGGGAGATTAAGCAAATAAATGCTAGCTTTTTGGAAACACATTAAAATGTGAGACTATGGAAATAAAATTATCTAGAAAATTGTATTAACAATTCATTAGCTGCAGTGAGATAGGACAAGTGGGGCCCCGTAGTGTCAGAATACACTGCTCTCTTCAATGCCTGAGCTCCGGATACGCTCCTCCTGTACTATGCTGTGGAGAAACATCCTGCCTGGTACCCCTCAGGAGAGGGAGAAACCTTAAGAAATCATATGGTCACCATGACACAAAGGGGAAATATACACACAGGGGTCTGCCTCTGCCACTCATTTGCCTTGTGACCCTGAGCAAGTCATTTAATGCCTCTGTACTGGTGTCTGCTCATCATTGGCCATAATGCTTGCAGTTGTTGAGTGCATCAAATGAGTTACCTAGATGTAAAAGCTGCTGTGAACTGTAAAGTGGTGGCAGAGCCAATGCCAGCCCCAACAATGCTTTTGTCTGGATTAAACAATCCTATCTCTTCCTCTGGGCAGACAGATCCTTGCCAGGGCACACGGTTTTGGGGAGTAGAAAGAGCTAGATTTCAGCCTCCACTTTGCCTTGCATTCGGGCTTCCTCGTGCAGTGAACAACCTGTATCACAGATCATGGCAGTCCTCCGTTACTTTACCGACTGTAGGCTGCTTCCAGGAACCTGACCCTAGAGAAGGCATTTTGGATGAGTTACATCATTTAAGATTCAGTGCCAAGGACATCTTTCTCTAAGCACTGAACAGTACCCTTCACAGACTTCTCTCCTAGCATGTAAAACTCTATCACATTTATTTTTGACATTCAGCACTGCCTATTGGATTGTAACCCTTCCAGAGCAGGAACTATCCTACTTATATGTGTGTCCCCAACATTTAGTGGAGGTCCTCACATAACGTTGTTGAGTTGGCTGCTGACTCATGGGGACCTCACGCACAAGAAAATGAAATGCTACCTAGTCCCACACCGTCCCTATGATTGATTGCAGTTTGAACTGTTTTCACCCATAGGGTTAATTTTCAAAAGCAGATGCCCAGGCTTTTCTTCCTAGTCCATTTTAGTCTGGAAGCTCCACTGAAACCTGTTCAGCATCATAGCATAGCAACACACAAGCCCCCACTGACAGGCAGCAGGTAGCTGCTTATGATTTATACTGGCCAGGAATCAAACCCAGGTCTGTGGAATGAAAGGGGAGAATTCTTCTACAGGACACCAATGTCTCCCTGGCACAGAGTGGGAAAAACAAACAAACAAACAAACAACCTCACTGCCATTGAGTCATTTATCAACTCACAGTGACCCCTCCTTGGGTTTTCAAGGTAGTATCTCTACAGAAGTAGATTGCCCAATCTTCCTTCCGAGGAGTGGCTGGTGGGTTTGAACTGCCAGCCTTCTGGTTAGCAGTCAAATGCCTTTGGCAGTACACCGCAACTCAATAAATGTATGGTGCATTAAAGAATAAATAAAGGGCTGTGGGACAATCACAAAAGGTAGAGGAAGTAGTCACGATACAGAGACAGACGGTAAGGGCTGGGGAAGGCTGAGACCAAAGTTCACAATGGAAGCCATTACTGAGAGCTTCCAATAAAATTTCCTTTGGCAACTGGTAAAGTAGCTCTGGTAGCACGGTGCCTAGGGCATCTCATTGCTAGCCAGAAGGTCGGTGGTTCAAACCCATCAGCCACTCCATGGAAGGAAGACTGGGCAATCTACTTTCGTAAAGATTTACTGCCTCAGAAACCCAATGGGGATCACTATGAGTTGGAATCAATGCAATGGCAATGGGTTTTTTTTTTTTTTTTCTTGGTAACTGGTAATGCCCACAA